TTTTATTTTGTCATTATTCGGGTGGATGCCCTCAGCGTCGATATCATGGCCTAAGAATCTGTACCTATCTTTTATGAACTCGCTTTTAGAGAAGTTAGGTGTCAATCCGTTCTTTCGAATTCAAACACTTTTTTAATGTTCTCGATATGTTTTTCATCATTACTACCAGTGATTAGCAAGTCGTCAATATAAAAAATGAAATCTTTAAGATCGCCAAAACAGCTGTAGGATCTGTTGAAAGATGGTTGTGGCTATTTTCAAACCGAATGGTAGCTTGGTGAAGCGGAAGTACCCCTTGTGTGTTTAGATCGTGAATAGATCCCTGAAATCTTCGTGTATGGGAATCTGTAGAAAGGCATGCTTGAAATCTATTTTTGTGAATTTCCTGCTCTTGGCCGCGATCAGATCATTAATAAGCGGTATCGGGTATTTGAAGTCCTCCATAACAGGGTTTATGGTGTCTTTAAAATCAACCTCATAGTCACCTTTGAAAACAGGAGTAAATGGACTTGCCCATCTGACTTGAGATACTTGCTCCATGATGTTGTCCTTTAACCAGCCGTCCAATTCACGAGTCATCGCAATAAACCTAGCATAAGGAACTCTCCTTGGAGGTATGATTTTAGGCACGGCACCGAGCTTCAAGTGAATTTTCACTTGTCTGATCAACGTTCACATTGGCAAGAACTAATATCTTGATGGCGCTGCCTTCATACCTGTAAGTTTCATATCCTTCTTACGTATGGTGGTTATGCCTACAGTCTTAGCTTGCATCAACGTGGGTATGTTGTTGATGCTCACCTTTACGTTGTACACGTCATATCTAGTATACTTGACCCCAAGATTGTACACTTCAAGATTTTGAAGATTTCTTTATGGTCTGCATTTAGGTCGTCGTCATCATCGATTACTTCGATGTTCATAGCATGGTTCGTATCCAATTGACAATCACCTTCTTTGTAATCAGATGATCTGTTTTAAGTATTATTATCATTTTTGAAAGTTGGGCCTCGTCGAATATTTCGGAAAACCATTAATATTTTGATGGTTGTGTTTGTGCTGACCACGACGGGGATAGTTGGTTAGGTTATCACCTCTATAGCAGTTATCCCGTCGATCAGGGCTATGTTGATTGTCACAATGATAGTCGTGGTGATTACCATGGACGGTGTACCCGCTATTGTTGTATCAATCGTCGTAGTAGTTATAGTTGCGATTGTCGAAACGGTTGCGGTTATAGTAACAATTATAGTAGCTTTGATCAAAACGATTGTCCCGAAAGTTTCCGTGCCGTCCGGGGGCGATTGTGATTATCAATGATGAACTGGGGTTGCTTGATAAGAGATTTACCATGTGCATTAGAGTCCTGAATGGGTTTTGTGATTACGTTACTATTTTTACTCTGCCCATGTGATTAACCTATTGTATTCTATGTGATTAAGTTAAATGAATGGCTTCAACTTTCATCACGCCCTTGATGTCACTTGGCTCCGTGGTGTCTTCCTTTAGACCTAGACTGTAAATATCTTTTATAGTCATATAGCTCCTGACCGCTTTCCTTACATCTTTGGAATTCGAAGCAACTCTCACTTTCTCAATAATGCGCTGAATGCCATTGAATTTGCATTCTTTATTGAGTCGTGCTTCGCGTGTGACCCAAGCCGAGAAAGCCCCTTGCCTTGAGTGGCAGCATAAAATAATGGTTTGGCGTTCTCAGTCTTCGACGGATGTTGTAGTTTGAATTTGCCAAGCAGAGCGATTGGGTCCTGGAAGTCTGCCTCTGTTCAAATTGCTCCAATGTTATTGAATCATCTGGAAGACTTCGGAGAAAAAACGCGGCCTTTCTCCGTTGGAGATCTTGTTGGTGTCGAAGAAATTCTGCAATTTCCCTATGTAGGCCCTGTTATCGCTATTAAATTTAGGGAAATCCAGATTGACGAATTCAGTCATATATGTGGAATTTAACGTGAGTCGCGAGTTCGTGACTCGTCTTGGCCACCATGAAATATTTGTATAGAATCTTCTGTTATGTAATAATACCATGATGTATTTAGACAGATTTTTATTTATTTTATTATCATAAATTAAACTTTATTTTTATTATAAATTACATTTTCCTTAACCAAAAACAATTTTTCTTTTTATATCTTTTTTTAACAATAAAAAAATAACCAGTTAGGTGAATACAAATTGATATTAAAAAAAATGTAACGTTAAATAGATATATAAAAAAATGTTAATATAAAATTTTCACCGAAATTATCTCTATTACTTAACAGTTAGCATGAATAATAAAGTGGAGAGAGTATTGAAAGCTTAAGAGAAAAAAAAATGATGAGTTCCATATCAACCAAGGTTTCAGACCCCTTCAAATTTTTTTCTAAGATTCCCAAAATTGCTTATCCCCTGGGCGTTTAAAGCGCTGAAAAATGGTATATTTTTTTGACAAAATGCAATTTAATTTATTTTAAATTTCTCGAGACATAATTATTAAATTTAATTATATAGCCTAATAATAGTTCTTTAATGTGACATATAAAAAATAAATATGATAGAAATCTGAATAATAACTAAAACGGGAAATATCCATAGAAAAAAAAGGTTGGCAATAATTGTACAAAATCCTATACTGTATTGAACATATGTCTAGGATCCGGTTTTAGATATTAATCAGATATCTATAATACTTATTTATATGACATATTAAAAAATTAATTTAAAAGCCCATATCTTAGCGGATAAGCAGTGTTGGAAGGTATAATTTTATTTATTTTTCTTAGAGTATATACTACCAATATACAAAATTTTTGAGGAAGTCGGGTTGAGAATCAACTATTTTTGTTGATTTGATATGAAATCCATATACTTGTTTATAGGTATTTATCAATGTCAGCTGTTTGATTATCCCAGAGATCCTAATCGTTTTGTTTAAAGCTCAAAATTCTATTAAACTCCGGCTGCTAGATTTTATAACGTTTAAGCTCAAATTTGTAGTTATAAAGGTTCGTTATCTATACGGGAGGATTCCGGCTTATAACTTAGCCGTTCTATCAATTAATATACCTTAATACTCTTTTCTATTTAATATCCCCATTACCGCTTCGGCCTTCCTCCTTTTGCCAATTTCGTTCACCTTGTTAAACAATCTTCATAATCTCTTCTTACCATATGACCAAACTATCAGTCACGACCAGTTGTTTTACTAATTAAATTTATAAAAAAAATTATTTTGCTGTATTACCAGATTTAACATCTATCAAAGATTCACATTTCTATAATTTCTATCCTTTTCTTAATAGTCCCGAGTTTCAGAAACAATAAAGCTTTGGTTGTACAAAACTTCTCAAATCCTAACTTGCATATTGAAGCTTTGAAGAACCCTTTTTGAATTTTTTTTTTGTCTCGTATAGGATTAGGTATGGGAAAAAATTTTTTAAATCGAGAATTTGTGAATTTAAATTTTGCTAGTAAAACCTATATAGATTACTTAACATGCCAAAAAAAATGGGAGAAAAAAAAAAGCTTCCATCTTTGAATGATCAGGGGGTTTGTTCTTAAACGTAATTATTGACTAGATAAAAATTAGCGTTCATATCTGTGCCACATCAAATGACTCCCATATATTTCTTTTCAGTTTATGGTCCATATCTTGTTAAAAGATCCCTTGGGTGAAATGTATTATTCCGTCATTTCTCTTATGAATCAAACGGTCACATTGATATATCATGTGAGGTTTTTAATTTACTAAATTTCTCAATAAGAAGAGTCAATCAATTAGATTTTAACATGCACCCATCAAAATTGAAATTCTTGGGTGATACGTTGGCTATCCTTCTTAGTTCTCACTTTAATAATCTTAAGCACATGTTTTATCACAAGAATTTAGTTTAATTCGATATTAATGGAATTATTTAGGTAATTCATGTTTGAGGTTCAAAGAGACTTCAACTGACTGAATAAATAATTTGATTCTCAAGAAGAAAAATTACTGTAAATTGTAACGATTTTTGTATTTGTTTATGGTTGATCTGCTTGGTCTATTAATTTTTTTTAAGAAGGCCTCTATATCGTCGGCCTAGAATTGGAGTGTTCCACCTGCGCAAAGGTTTAAAATAAGAAATCAAATCTAGGAATAACTTATTAATCAATTTTGAACAGAGCTATAACTTTGGCAAAAAATTAAAATTTTTTTAATCTAGTTTTTATTTTTATATATATATTGGGAATAAGTTATTATCCACTTCTAACTTCAAAAATTTTGAAAATGTCGAGGGGATTACAGTTCATATATTATTTTTTTTTCAACATTTTCACATGGCGTCGTGAGAAGGATGTTCATATTATCTTACAGTTAGGGTAGTAACCCTACGGCATATTCTAAAACTGAATCTAGTGGAACGAAAATTTGACACTGAAAATGAGAATAATATAACATTCACCCCAACCCTTCAAAATATTTGAAAATAGCCATAATTTTATAAAAATATGGAGAAAAATTTTCTATAACCAAGCTACATAAATAGTAATCCAAACGAAATGATTCGATATTTAATTAATTCAACTGTAATTTATATAAAAATAAGTTTACAACAACCTCATTCTATTCATACAGATATAATTTGTGCAAAAGTTTTGGATGTAAGAACAATAAAGCCTAGTTTATTAATTATCGGATAGCGATGTAAATTCAAATTCATTGCATCTCCCATCATCGTCATTATAAAACGTAACCTTATTATTTACTTGCTTCCCGGTAAACGAGGTAAATAAGTTTGACATAACGCTTTTAAAACGATACATCTCTTTATATACGTTTTTATTATAATAAAGGAGTAAAAAAAGTAAAGTATAAACTCGGTAATATAAATAAAATTTCCATTTAAAACATCATTTGTTTTTTTTTAAATATTTAATAATTCAAAAAAAAAACAGTGTAAATAAAACTTTTTATGTTTAAAATTAAAACAAATAAAAAACACAAACTGAATTACAGGAAATAAATGTACAATGTTATAATAATTATAATTAAAAAAATAATATTTTATTTGGTTTGATCATGCTAAATCGATTATTTAAAGGACTTAGCGGTATCCGCGTCACGAAATTGAGTCACGTTAATGATTTAAACACGGAAAGGGTAAGGTTTATATAAATTATAAATTTTTGCGCTTAGTTTGTTCACTACGTTATTACAAGTGTAAGCGATCGCGTGTTATATAGTAAAATATATATTATACAACACATGTACATCATACATTTAAAAAAATAATATATATATATATATATAAAATACTCATTTTTTTGTGGCCCATCTCCCATCACCAGTAAATTGATTACGAAACTATTCCTCCAATGTGGCCAACAGTGAAAGGGGGAAAATTTAATGTACAATATCATCGTAAACTTTGCTTATCATTCATAAAACTGTAAACGCTTTAAGCTATTTTATAAGATTGGCGAAGCCTTGCTATTACCTAGATACACGACAGCTGCTAATACGTTGATGAGTCCGGCTATCCAAAAGACGGGGAACCAGCGACCACGACCGGCGTGAACGAGTTCGGCAGTTAACGGACCACAAATCATGCCAGGCAATGCCGCCAAAGTGTTAGCAACAGCAAAGGTTGCCCCTGCACGTCGCGGAGCCAGATCTGCATGGTTGGCCAGGTGGCCGCAGGAGTTAAATGCGGAACCTGCCATAGCCAAGCTCATAAGGAGAATGGCAACAACGGGGTCCCGGGCTGCGGCTAAAATGATTAAGCAGGCAGCGGGTATTAGGAGACCTATCGCGGTAGCGAGACGACGTACGTATAGAAGGGATTTGCCGCGGCGAGCTAAAAGGGAATCCGCCCAATGACCGGCGGCGGCGCCCGCTAGAGAATTGAAGGCATAAGGTAGAGCAGTGAGAGATAGGTGGTCGGGATCGGCCCCCAGGGCCGTCGTCAGGTACGTGGGAAGCCAAAGAGCGACCACTTGACTGCACCAGTTCATGGCAAAGTGGGCGGCATAAATAGCCCACAAGGCGGGCTTGTCCAAGTATGGTAGCCACCAGGAAACGCAAGGTGGTGATAGTCGATGCAGGGTGCGCTTATAGTGCGAGAGTAGAGTATTATTATTACCGTTGCTGACGTTGTTATCGACGGGGTCAAAATTGGGTTCACGGTTTTCGGCGAAAAGCGGGACTGATACGGAATTATTAGCATCGTTGGCACGATCGGTCCCTTCTAAAGGAGAGTACTGCGAAGGAGTCGAGTAAAAGGCGGGTGGAACAGGAACAGAGCGTCTCTCACGGTAATATGCCACCCAAGCCAGAACCCATAAAAATCCCACTACCCCTAGCAGGTAGAAAGCGGCGGACCAAGGTGCATGGGGTAAGATGAGAGTGGCGGTGCATTGACCCACCGATCCAAGGGCCACGAGGTACCCAAAGGCGCGAGAGCGCTCACCCGGGAGTAGCGTGGTAGAGTAAACGTGAAATACGGCAGGCAGACCAAACCCTTCCCCGAACCCCATGAGTAATCGGGCAGCGATCAGGTATGGGAGGCTGTGGGCCACGAGAGGTGTTATAAAAGTGGAGAGTGACCAGATAAACACGGCAATACCCAAGACCCTTTTAGCACCGTAACGTGGGGCGGCTCCGGCCCCAGCAAGTTGGGAAGTAAAGAATCCAAATGAAAAGGCGCTGAGAATAAGGCCCTTTTGATGCATTGACCATCCGTATTGGTTAGCCATGGGCACTATAGCCAGGGGCATAACGACCCGGTCGGCCGAGTTTATAAAGTTCGCAAGGGAACAGAATGCTACTATCTGAGCGTAAGAAGACGAGGACGGACCTAGGATGGGATTCAGGGTGGATATGGGCGATTGCATCCTTCTTTATTCGATATTTAAAATTACCCGATGAATTTTGACGGCTGGATATACTAATTTTAAGATAAGTCTTTGTCGTGGTTTGTGTCGTAGTCTTGGCGCGGTTTAAGCACGCAGCTATTTATGTATCCTAAAAACGAAAAAAATCAAATTAATTAAACATCATTATTAGTCTATTTTATCTTAACCAAAAATTACTCACCGATAATAGCGGTGCTGGCAATCAGGAATGACAAATGTTATGCTAAATCTCACCCTTAAAAATTAGTGTTATTTGAATCCCATAATTTTGGCTAACCTAATCAAACGTTTAGCCAGAAGGGATCGGTTTAAAAGTATAGAGGTTATGCCTCAATTTGGAGATGGAGACCTTTTTTTTGTGTTACGATAAAATCTTGGGCCAAGGTGTTTAAAAGTTTAGCTAATCGATTTAACGACACTATTCAAATACGAATCGATTTTGTAGTCAGATTACATAAAAATTTATCACGTTTCTTATAAAATATATATTAATATTAAAGGCCATAAAAAATCAAGTATATCAGTTTAGTTGGATTTGAGAATACCCTAAAGAAGAATTAATCTTCAAGATTATCAATAGTTGTATTGAAATCTTTAGACGAGCCACCGATTAAACCATCATAGATATACCAGACCTCTGAAGAGGGGAGCGTGAGGCATTGATTGCCTTGACCATATCGTTGATTCCGAGACTAAATAGAAATGATCCGACAGGATCACTTTGTTGAATCCCTTCTACGGAGGGAATTTTATTAGAATCAAATGTAAAGTAGAAGGATATTGAATGCAAGAATGGACAGGGAAAAGAGGGGTTGAGGAATTTAAGTAAGAATTCAGATACAGGGTATTAGAAGATTCGGTGAAGACGATCTTATTCAAGATTTCATTTGAGGGAATGTTTTCTGTACGAATTTGGTTTAGTAGTGTACTGAAGCCTCACAGCCACGCAACTTCCACGCTAAGTTGAAACGACGACTACAAAACGGAAATCATTTTGGCAACAAAACAAAGAAAAGGTTGAGCGCATAACCAATTGGCCTTATATAATTTTTAGGATTTTTTGTAAGGCAACGGGGCGCGCACCGTAAAGTATGGGGGAGACCCAAAGTCAGGAACATCTTCACCTAGAATTTTGCTGCAGATGAAAGTTAGCATGGTTAGGTTCGAAGATTGGGCACGTATTAAAGGGGAGGTAATGTCCCGTAGAAACGTAGGACGTATACCGCCGAGACCCATGGGCGGATTCGCGTGGGAAAGAGAGGAGGCCTTCTCCTAACTTCTTCCGGCGTGAAATTAGTCGCGCAAATGGAATAATATTGAGGATCAATAGGATCGATGGTGGAGTTAAGATGTTTGGCGCGAAGCATGATTGTAGGTGTCATAAAGAAGCTTCGGCTAGTGAATCATAGGTAGATACATGAAAAAAAAAATTAAATCAATTTTCAAGAGCCATATTGACCCGATTTCGATCCCGGTCGGGATCAAATTTTTTTTTTGAAACCAACCTCGTGGAGTCTAATGAAGATAGGTTCAAAAAAGTGAGATATATGGGGTTAGAATTTACTTCCTCCGAAAACGGAGATAATTCTTTTATTTTTTCTTTAAAAATTTTTTTTTTTAAAATAAACAGTATTCTGTATAATAAATTTATAATAATAATTAAATATTTACGAGACTCACTTTATAATTAGTATGTTGTAAATTTGATGAACGATTTTCCCCCCCCCCCTGATCGATTTATTTACATTTAACAAATTTCGTTTTTACCTTGAATAAATATAACGAGATTTAAAAAAAAATTTTGTATCCTGTTACATCTCGATATATCTATATACCCCGTAAATATTATCTTAACATTTATAATGATTATCAATAATAATATTTATTCGGTTGAAGATTTATTTGACAGATCCTATTTCGATATAGTCAAACCCTTCTATAGTTAACTTCCGCTACTGTCTACAAAAATTTGAATTTATATTTTTTTAAAAAAAACCCGAGCCGGGCCTAAGAGGAAAAAAGTTTCTTTTTCAACAACAAATTTCGTTTTTACCTTGAATAAATATAACGAGATTTAAAAAAAAATTTTGTATCCTGTTACATCTCGATATATCTATATACCCCGTAAATATTATCTTAACATTTATAATGATTATCAATAATAATATTTATTCGGTTGAAGATTTATTTGACAGATCCTATTTCGATATAGTCAAACCCTTCTATAGTTAACTTCCGCTACTGTCTACAAAAATTTGAATTTATATTTTTTTTTAAAAAACCCGAGCCGGGCCTAAGAGGAAAAAAGTTTCTTTTTCAACAACCTCGATTAGTACGAATATTTAGAAAATTTGCGTCGGTGTGTTTCATTTCATTTGTCAATATGTTATTTTTTCAACTTCGAATTATTTTTATTTTTTGGGAAAACTTTAGGCATTTAGCCCTCGTAATAAGATATTGTTTGATATCTTCGTTAATTAATGAATCTATCTCAAATTCGAAACGAAAAAAAAAACAATGAAATAAATAATAGACAAATATAAAATACACCTATGGGTAAAATTTTTCTTTTTACATTAACGTATAAAATATAATACTTTATATTTCCTCCTTCCTATCATTAAAAATAATATTTTTCGCGAAAAAAAAACACACATCAAACATTTGTACTTTATTTTGTCACGCCTACGCTTTTAACTTTGAGGGCGTTATGATGAACGCTCATTTGCGAGAAAAGAAAATTGGTTTCAAAAAATAAATGAATAAAAGGTTCTAATAATTAAAAAAAAAGAAGTATGTATGATATCGATATCGGTTAAAGTTTCGACGAATATCGGCCGATCCGACATTTTCTCTAAAAGTTCAAAACCGGAGCTGATCCGATACCGATACTTAATATCGTTACATCCCTATTCGTAAATTTTTGTTTTCACTTTTCAATTTCAGTTTTATGACAATATTATTACCTAATATTTGGTATTAAAATCGAATTTAAAACAACTATTAACTTTCAATGGATAATATGGTTTTAACCGTGATTTTTTTTTTTTTTAAAAATTGACGATTCTTGATGTGTGTGTGGGGGGGGAAGGGGTTAAAAAAATATATATATTAACGCATTTATTTTTTAAGAAAAATGAATATATATATAATTCAAAATATTCCTTATTTAATTCAAATTTTTTTTATTATTGTTTTGTTTAAAATATGTATATAATTAGTTACATAATCAGTACGGGGACTCAGAAATAGACATGTTTGTGCTACTACTCCGTTCCAATCAAATAGTAAATGTCGCGTTCCATCTTTAGGAACGTATTCCTAATGACCATTTTTATTAAAAAAAATGGATAAGAATCGCTATTTTTAATGAATTGTCATTTATTTTTTTACGGGTTAAGAATTCCCATTTTTTTTTTAAAAAAAACCCCGATTATGAAAAGGCCATTTTAGAAAATAGGCCTTAAAAACCGCCATTTTTAAAAGAATCGGAACTTAAAAACGGACTATGAATCGCCATTTTTAAAAGAAACCGGAAATGGAAAAATCCGAGCTAGGTACATTTTTTACAAAATTTAAAAAAAAAATATCCAACGTAGTTTAACAAATAAAGTTAGCTATTATCGATTGATTTTACAGTATTTTCTTTCCTATTGTTCCCTATTTTGCCTGATCGAATTTCGCAATTATAAAAATGAATAAAAAAAAAATCAGGATGAAAATGCGCAATGTTGAATAATTCATGGGAAGGAGAAGGAAGAAAAAGGGGGGGGGGGTGGGGGGTGGTGTGAATTAGAGATCTGCAAAGTTAAAACCGAGCCCGGCCCGAACCGTTCGGGCCGGGTTCGGTCCTAATTCTATTTAAAATAATCGGGTTCGGGCCGGGCCTAATATTTTTAAAAAAATTTCGGGCCGGGTTGTGTCGGATTTTGGAAATTTTTTTAAAATATATCTAAATTTATCAATTTTATATTGAATTTTTTTATGAATAAATAAAAAATTTTGATTTTAATTTATTGAAAATAAAAGACATCTATAACATATGTCTTTTAATTTAAGTAATAATAAAAAATTAATTTCTATATTTAAATAAATTCGGGCCTGGCCGGGCCGGCAAAACTTTTAAAAAAAATTTCGGGCCGGGCCGGACTTGAAAAATTAGGCCCGATACAGATCACTAGTGTGAATATTGAATAAAAATAAATATTTCAAGGCAAAACCAAGGCATACAAAAAATTTTTTTACCATCTGACTCTAGCCGTTGCTCAGAGCGTGAAAAAAAAAAGTGAAATTTATTTTGTAGGTCTAAATTTCTAATATATTAAAACTGAATAAGAATATTGCTTATCTTAATTGGGGAAATGGTAGAGAATGAGGAGTCAAGAATAAGGCAATTTGATGGGACCTTGCTGGCTGCCATGGGTAGGGTGGAAATCGTAGGAACATCGGGGGGAGAGGGTTGGAGTATTAGATTTATGGATTATCAATCATAATAATATAGAAGCTGTGTTGGGGTGGGACTGGATCAGCTTATACTTAAATAAAAAATAATAAGTGATATTTGGGCTCTAAATATGCACAATTATTTTATATATGGATATAAAGATAGAGGGGATTATAATATGCCATTGTTGTGGGAGAAATAAGTCCAAAAGCCAAATTGCTCATAAGGTGAGCACGCGGTCCTATTTTTAGGTTTCATTGATATAGAGATGTAGCACTTTTGATGATAAAATTTTAAAGCTTATTATTTCATGAAATGTGTCTTGAAAAATTGCCAAGTTTTTTTTATTGGTGGGTGTTGATGACTTTGGAAAATTATATTTTCTCTGTCTGGTAATTGAGTTTTAGATGTCACTGCTTTCTAATGTTCTTAGATCATTATATATAGATTACTCACAATTTTTTTACTAAGATTTCTAATGTAATTAAGAAACTAATATTATTTTTATGTTTTTATTGTTAATTGATTTTGTTATTTGCAATGTTGTCAAGGATGTATTTTATTTTTATATGAGAGATTTTTTTTGTTTTAGCTAAACTATTTTTTGATCAAATGGAGAAATTTTACAACGCTATCCAAATAGCATATTATTTTTGCACGGTATCAGCTCTGTTGACTCTATCATTAGATATATTTCCATCAATATTTTCCAAGTTTAAATTCTCTGTATTAATTAATTTTAATATTTATTCAATCCTATAATCATCAAATTTTGTTAGGTAAACAAACTGTAGTTTAATAATTGCTCTATTTTTTAGCTGGGCTAAAAAGTATGTTTTCTGAAAATATAGCTCAACTTTGAAGAAAACAGAAATAAACTAACCTATGCCTCAATGTTTGTCAAATTTAATTAAGCATATGCCCGAAGTTAAGCTGAATTTGTAAAATTTTTCTATCCATTCCACAATAAACTTATACACTCTATTATAATTAATCTAATTAGTTAACTTTAAATAAATATGATTGATGTTATGAATGTATTATGGGTTGAGAAAAACTTAACAAAAGTACTGGTAACATTACTACAGTAAAAATAAAATTGGGATTAATATGCAAAATAATTTAATAATTTTCTTTATTATCAATGCCTACAAACATTGGACATATTAAAATAATGTAAATATTAAAAGGTGCATATTAAGATGTATATATTAGGTAAATTATTATTACCTTAATGAATGTGTTCACCTCCAGGTTAATATCTTCTTATTTAAAATATTAGTATTCGTAGTGAAAAGGGTTCTATAAATTTTATAATCCTTTTAAAATGTTTAGCGTGGTTATCAGGAATATCTACCCCTAAAAAAATATGAAGGTATGAAACACATGTTTATACCATATGTTTATATAATATCTAATATTAAAATAATGAATCAAATAGGATATTCAATTGTAAATTTTATAATTATTGCCAAAAAAATAACCACAATTATCATTGGTAACTATAGCGGTACAAATCAGGTTAGGTTGCGCTCTGGGAAAAGATTATTTATTTTTAACATTTGGAAGGTTTTAAATCAAATAAAGAATATGTATTATACTGTAAATAATTTGCTAAATAAGGGCACACTGGTCAAGGCGGAATCATGATGTTATTTGATAAGTCAGATTGTGAGAGTGGAGTCCTTAAAACATAGGTATAGCTAAGAATTTGCAAAATAGGCTGGGAAGGCTAGTAAGTGGGTTTTATTTACCCATAATTTTTATTGGAGATTTTTAGGTCCAACCTTATGTAAGATTTGTCTGTGCAAAATTTATACAAAAATTATTTTGGTTTTTGACTTTATATAAAAATTATTTAAAAATATAAGCGTTGCAAAGAAGGGGGGGGGGGCAGGGTAAGCCTTTTTTTTGGAAATTTGCTTGTTCTCGTAAATATCATTTCATTCTTAGCTAAAAATATTCCCCATATACTCCCATAATTTTTCCTCCAAAATGTATATATATAAAACTACATGCAAAAAATTGAAAAATAATAAGCAAAAGTTAATAACTTCTTTAATTAATGGGCATAATTTAAATTTTTATGACATTTATATTAATAACTAAACAAAATTTTTTTAATTTTTTTTAAAATTAATTAACACCCCCCCCCCCCCCCCCCCCCCCCCTTCCACCCTTCTTTTAATTTTTTGATTCTGTAAACTCATACCATAAATTATTTCTAATATTTGAATTACTTGTAAAAGTGTAAACTAAGAAATAAAACTATATAAACACATTTTGTATTATAATCGAATTTTTACATAAAACCTTTTGCTATTAATTATATTAAAAAAATTTATAAACGTGACGACAATACAATTCATATGAAATGATTGTTTAGACTGCTAATTTCAATTATAACAGCACACTTAGTATTTATCACTCACGTCACGACAATGATTTTGACTAAAGATTTGGTCAAATAAATTATTTGGTTTCATTGGAAAAGTTTCCAATCTTGCTCTCTAAGATTTTCATTCAAAAAATGATTGACAAAAGGTAGCCACTTGTAATTCTCAAGCTATAAAAAATATGCAAAATATTTTTTAAAATATCTTTTTTTATGGAAATGGAATATAGTTATTATCAGTTTTGAGACACATTGAATAACAATGAGTCGCAGTTTTTCATATTTAAACTCCAATGCCCCTATGATAATTTGATAGCAAAAGATGCCATGTTTAAGTTAATATCTTTTAACAAAATGTAAATTTTGGTTGATACTGATGTCGAAAAATACTATGATAAATCCAGGAATAAGGTATGCGAATGCCTCTCAAAATATGTAATATCTATCCATTTAAGACTTATCGATAACCAAATATATATAGTACATAATTTTTATCGTAGATATAATATGAAATCGTCGGCCTAGAATTGGAATGCTCCACTTGCGCAAATGTTAAAAATGAGAAAATCAACATTAAAGTTTAAAATCATAAAGCTTATTGATCAATTTTGACAGAGCTATAACTTTGGCAAAAATCAATATTTTAATCAAGTTTTTATTTTGGGAATATATAAGTTATTATCCACTTCTAACTCAAAAATTTTACGATGTCGAGTGGAGCACTTCAATTCTAGACCGACAAAATGTTAGTGTAATTAAAGCCGCGAAAAATATTATTTCCAGGTTTATACGTTTAGGTAGACAGAGCTTTTAGAAGCATATCCAAAATGACTAGAAAAACTTATGGCCAAACACAAGTGACAAATAATGTAGGGAATATCTCTCATTATATGTGATTTCTCTACTCTTCTATGTTTATTTGGGCCAAAACTAAGGTGTTGTTCCATGAGTAATAGGCATAAACACTATAACGAGGCAGTATAGGTTCCCTTTGCCAAAATTAGTGAACATTTTAAAACCGTACTAACAACTAAAAAAATGAAATAATTATGGTCTGGATGAATGTAGATATGTCAAAAACCTCGAAAGAGATAATCATTATTTCTATTTAAAAGGTATTATCAGCCGAATCTATCAGCAATATAAGATTTGCAATATAATTTTTTGGTCTTTCAGTTTTCAAGGACCTGAAAGAATTGTATAAATGTAATTTACGAGTGAAGGCATATTACAACGATGAAGGTTAGTTATTCAAAGTATTCTATTTTTAAATGTAAATATTAAAAAAAAAATTTTTTAAATAAATAATACATAATGATTGTTTGAATTTTGTTATTTTATACCAAAAAAATCAACAATGCAAATTTTGTGTTTTATCTTGTAAAATAATTATTATATATAGAAACTTATGATTGAACCTCGAGAAGCAGCCCAACCAGACTTAACATATATTCTTAGTTCGGAAAATGGCAATGCTGAGGGGGAAGGGTGGCCTGGCCCTACATTCTTGTTTATTCATAATGGCGAAGTGAAGTATGACATGAATCACGCCATTCATGGGCCCAAGGTCATCGGGAGATTCAACAGAAATTTAATTTACCTCATAAATTACGCCGAAGAGGTGGGAAAGGATAAAGTTTTTCTGAGGGCGGAATGTCTGGCTTACGGCGACAAGGTAGACAGGCTCAAGCAGGAAATCGAAAATTTCAAGGCGAAGCTGGAAAATTTGAAAAAAATGAGAAAACCTACCAAGGATCCTATCGATGCCCAACATGCTACGAATAAAAATGAGGCCTGCTCAAGTGGCTGGGTCCAGGACTCGGCAGCCGTCAATTCACAGAATCGAGGAGCGAATGTCTGGGAACGAACCAAGGCCGATATATTGAACGTTTTAAGAAAATCTGGCTTAGCCTCGCAGGATCATTCCAATGATTCGGAAGAAAAATCTTATCGAAATAAAAACTTGAAGACCAAGCAGGGAAAACTCTTGTGTCACAATATAGAATCCAATTTTAAAAGGGGGAAGGAACTGTTCGTCAAAATTTCTAAGGCTCACGACACGCTCGAACTTATGAAAGAAGAATTGGAAGAATTAAAATACGAGAATTTTAAGATACGCCGCGAGATGGCGAAGTATTCGGTGAGTCGCGATGCAAGGCCGTCCATCGATGGCGCAGACGATGACGATGACGAGAGGAAATTTCAATTAGAAACAACAAATAAATTGGGAACTCAAGAAAGTGAAGCTGTGAGGGATGTTTGAAAATGTTTGACCTTCAATTCCCCCCCCTAATTTAATATTTGTTTTTTAATGAGTTTTTTTTTTTTTAAAAAAAAATAAATAAATAAAAAACATTTTAATGTGTTTTATTTTTTGTGTTAAGAAAAATTTTCATGCATAAATTGATTATTTTTTTTTTTTTTTAAAATGAATAAAACGTGTATAAAATATCTTAAACTATAACATGGATAATATTTAGAATTAAGGAGGGTAGGAAATAGTGTTGTTAAACGGCTAACTCAAATATTTTATCTAGATGAATATTACGCAAACCTGAAGATTTTGCTCACAGATGGCCAGAAGGTCTAAACATCTAAACTAACGAAATCGCGAAGCTTGAGCAATATTTTTCTGACTAAAATATCGAGTTCGTTTAACAACACTAGTAGATAAACTGACTAAAAGGTGTGCTATTTATATAGAGGCTGATGGGATAGACTGGCTAGAAGAGATGTACGATTTAAGTTCGTTTCGTATCTGCAAAACTATAATATATATTAATATCCAGGTATGATTCACAATACACGAAGTCTAAAGATTTAGCATTTAGCTGAATTTATAAGCACATGACAAGAAAAATAAAGCTTATACAGCATGCCAAAATCAACATAAAAAGAAAAAATACAAAACAAAAAAAAATTAAGTATGTATTATGGAGAGTTTGGGTGTTTTTTTTTGTGACTATATTGAGTTTAAATGGAATTCGTAGGGTAGGCAATTCCAAACATTAGTGTTGTTAAATTACCCTAACTATGACCATTTCTATCGTGTCTAAGTCAAGCTTTTAAACTAAAAAAAAATTGTATTAAGCTTCTAAATCGAGCCCTCAACTTGAAGATTGATTAGAATATTTCTGGATAAAAATATGGCTACACTGTTTTTATAGTTGGCTAAAGGTAGGTAGTTTAACATCCCTACCCAGTGTCTACATGAGCGGGGGGGGAGAGGGGGGTAGGAACAGTTTGCATCCTAATATCTATAAAGGGGTAGGGGGTAGGTGGTAGGGGGTAGGCAATATGGGGGGTAGGCTATAATAATCTAGAAAGTTTTCCATTACATTTTTAAATTATCTATGGATAACATTTTGGTATTTTTAGGGGGGTTTGCATCCAGTGAATATACTGTCATGTAGACGCTGACACTGCCAAACATGACGGAAAATACGTTTCCGGTAAGATCACATTTTTTTTTAAATTTACAAAAAAAACGGGATCAACAAATGATTTAAAGTTGATAAAATGACACATTCCCGCAAAAAAAAAACAAACTCGTTGAAGCTAACATATACAAAAAAAAAGAGATATTTAATTTCTGACAAAGTTCTAATTTGTATTAACAGATTCTAATATATATACATTTTTTCTTAAGAAAAAATATCAATGAACGTTAATATTTTTAGTGGTAAGCAGAAAAATTGTATAACCGGATTAGTTATCATGCTAAACACGATTCATCAGGTATTCACTGTGATTCCCTATAATGAACATTCCGTAGTCAAATCTCCTATAACAATAATGGTAAAAAAAAATTTTTTTTTTAAAAAAATTTCGGATATGTCTTAAAATAGCATTATATAAACGTGATTAGAGCAGCGAAATCATTTACAACGATCCCAGGAGCCTAAGCCTAATTTTTGGTAAGTTTCAAATAAAAAATTTTTTTATTTATAAAAAGGAAGAATACATCCAGAGCTA